ATAATGTCAGAAATTGAACCGAATACCTTTTTCTTCAATGGAGGTCCACAATAGAAAGTCCAGATAGGTCGGGTCAGGTGAATGTGGTGGCCTCTTATTAGGACCATAGTTTCCTTTTAATCGTCCTGATGTAGTCCTATTGCAAACATATCTATAAATGGTTCTACAATGTGGAAGAACTCCATCATGTTGAAAATACTGATATTTTTCTCAGAATATCCAAAGACAAATGTGCCAACAACTCAACTAAAGCCTCCGACAAGCATTCCAAATATAATTCAGCCATCATAGATGCCTCAAAAAGATAAGGACCTTTTATCTTAGTATCTAGCACACCAAGTCAAACATTCATTATCCTGACGATGTTTTCTGGGAAGCCATCTATAAAATATTTTCTCCTTTCATAACCCGTTAAACAAAAATGGTGATTTTTCTTGACATTATGAGGTCTAAATTTGTTCCTTCTCAAAAGTTTTTGAACTGTCGTAGTAGATATAGCATTATGATGTGCAATCTCCCTCAATTATACTTCTCGTTCTCAATTTTTTGGTATTCCACAAATCCTGTATGGAATAAATATAAACTTCACTATTACTGAGACTGTCTTCGTAATACTTTCACTCAAAGGTTTTTCAAATGAACCAACATTTCACGTATACGAAAAGCATATCATATTTCTCATCATTAGAAAAGTTAGTGGTTTTCCCCATACAATTCACCCGAATCAAATGATTCAATTCAATTCAATTTTATTCTCGATTCGATATAACAAGATACTTAGATGAACATACATTATCATAACAGTTATCCGTCATTATCCCAAGGGTTTTCCTATGCACGTACTTGACAGTAAATTTGACAATTATAGATATTCTGTTGATTCACGTTGGATTAATCAATTCATTTCATTTCAGTACCCTTCTCCACAATTTTCATTTGTCAGAAAACAACAGAAACAAATATTTATGTTTCATAAAAATTGGATTTTGAACTGTTCTAATATATTCAAACAAAACTGCTTGAATGCATGGGTGTTGGGGGTACATGATAGTGTTCTTGAAGTTTTTCTAATATATTTGAAATCATAATCATTGCAAAGTATATCATAGGCAACATTATATTTTTTCAAATCAGGAGTAGAATCTTTTAAGTGTGTCTTGAAGTATAACACTTTACCGATTGGCCTAATATCTTCCATATTTAGAAATGTAGCTGTTATTAGATTGAAAAAATAATCACGGCCTTGTATTCTGTACAAAACTGTGAATGAAGTAGTGATAATAGAATCATATATACTCAATCAACTCCGAGTACCATATTTGATTAACATCATGCATTAATCAATATTCAGTGTTTGTTCATCAAACGCATGCCAAAGCCGATTTCAGTTACTTTTGATATAGACATACTGTCGAAGAAAGTACTTTCACATTTATTCTCATAATTCTACCACTCTTTATAGTGGTATAAATACTTAGGGCTCAAAAAATGGAGTCATTAATGATATCCAATTGATAATAGAAACAACAATATGGGAAGATGTGTATGGTTGTTGGTGTTCGCTGGGGTAGTTTTTGCAGAACCCTTACCGAAAATTGAAACGTCGGCATGGAATGAACTGCTCCAGGTGAGGAAGATGCAAGCAAATCTTATTGCGATCAGTTTTGTTATCAGTGTGATAGATTTTATAATTTTTTTCAAATCCCGTACTCAAAGTTCAGAACTTTTTTAAATCGGCTCGATAAAATATTTTTACATATGAAAACGATATACCTTTATATTTTATTATGGTATATTCTTCCTGTAAATCAATTCTGTCGATTTTTAAAACAAAGTCCAGAAAGTTTATTTGATTTTTTCATTATTCAAAAACTTCTTCATACATGATAATTTCTCACATTAGTTCGTTATATCGATCGTAATGTGTATCGGTGTTTGTATATTTTCGCTTTACTTCTATCGTTTTTTTTATTTTAAGATTGGTGGTGACATTGAAGTGAAGAGTAATGATATACAGTCTGGTAGAAGTATGAGTTCGTTAGAGGATCGCGTGGAAAATTTCATGAAGAACCACGATGTTTCATTCGATCTTCCCATCATTGGATCGAAAGTGACCATGGATGCCAAAAATTTAGACAATACTGAAGTCAACTTAAAGATCAAGTTTGGAAGTGGAAGTGAAGTACAAGGTATTCTTATGGAAACAATATTCAGTTGATATTTCTCTGGAAGAATAACCTTACACTTTACTTGAATGGATATATTTTTTTTAACATAGAATTGAATATCTGTTGTTGATCAATGATTTTCTGTATTTTTTGTATCCTCTCCATTTGGTATTTTTTTCATCAGGTCGTTTTGAAACGAACAGAAAAATAGATTTGAAGTTATTCCAGAATATTTTCCAACGGGTATTACAAACGTTTCTCTTTATGATACGAGTATGTCAAAGCCATTTCAATGAAGATTTCATTATTTGTCTTTCGAACAACAGTCATATAAAAAATATGAGTTTATTAAAAAATTTCATTTTCAGCCCGCAAGAAGTCTAAATTGAAGAAAATATTTGTTCCAATCCTCATCTTCATCCTGATCAAAGCAATGACTTTAATTCCACTTGCACTTGGTATTCTCGGAATCAAGACCTGGAATGCTATTCAGTTGTCATTCATTTCCTTTGTGTCAGCTTTAGCTATGGCGGTGTGGAAACTTTGTTCAAAGATTAGTCATCCACCTCCACAGATTATTCACAACGCCTGGGATCCTCATCTACATCATGATAGGTCAGACTTGGGACAGCAGATGGCATACTCTGCGTATGCTTCACAGTAGTGATTTCATTCATGATTTTCTTCACACTTTTGTAGTGACGGGTTGTGATTTTTTCTAATTTATTAAATTTTCTGTTTTCATTATTCAAATATGTTTATTCATTATTACGACCCCATACATAACAAAAGATTTCTTTAGAAAAATGCTAGTGGTAGCGAAGCTATAACTGAAAATAAATTTGATCAATTCTACAAAAATTTAAAAAAAGAAGAAGTACTTAGCAAAGACAAAAACTCAAAGGTTTTGATTTATAATTAAAATATTATTATTTCAATGTTCATTCAATTTTTTTCAGATTAAGTTCGACTGAGATTTCAAATTTGTGTTTATATTGACGTTTTCAAAATTTTGAGCTATCATGGAAAAAAGACATATGTTGTTCGAATTGTAATCGAACAGAGAATTCGTTCAAAATTGAAAGCAGTTCATAGTATCTCGACAATATTATACGAATACAACAATTTTATTTTTACTTTCATCGCATCGTTCTATTGATTATTTGAAAAATACCTAAATGAAAATATTGCGACAGTTATTCTTGGAAAGACAGATTTCTATAAATCACACAAATTAGTGAAATTCAATGAATCATTTCTGTTGAAACTGAAAAAATCAGTGTTACGAAGGAACAATGGTTGTGTATTCATTGTATAATTTTTTTTCGACTTGATATTCTCAATTATATCTTCCAAACATATTTATAAATGAAAGCAGGAAAAAACAAATTATAATTTATTTCCTTGTGATGATATTATCACTGTTCTGGAAATCAATTGTGAAGTGAATGATTATATTTTCACGCTTTTTCGTGAGGTTATTTGGTGAGAGTTTTTGTTTCATTACATTTTATTGTATGGTCACCTGTTGGTATAAAAATATGCTCTGCTATTCTAAATCCTGTAATTTTCACCCGTATCCTCGGGTTTTGTTCGTGTGAGAAGATATCTCCATGTATTGGTGGGTTTGAAAGTTCTTGGAAAAAAATGTTTTGGTATTCTACGTTCTATTTTTATTGAAATGTTTTGTGTTCTACTGAAGTTCTATATAATTGTTTTTCGAATGATTTGGTATACACTTTGTAAAAACATCAGGAAATATCTCAATTTATTGGTATTTTTTAACTTTTTTCTGACATCATATCTAAAACCGATTTGTCTCAATTTTATCAAATTGGAATGTCGGTAGAGGGAAAATCAAAAATTAAAAATAATAAATCGCGTAGATGAATATGGAACACTTTTGGAAATTATATCAGTATCCTGTCTGCTGAAAAATGAATGCCGAGTTAGAGATAGAGAGTATTTCGAAAATCATTATTGTTATCGCAATTCAATTTTTCAGAGTCGGATCAACCTTTGAATCAAAAAAAAATTAGGTTGGGTTAGGTTAATTTCAATGTGAATGAATCTAGTCGACCCTATTGTAGCTAATATGTATTCAAACTCGACCAAATGAACCCAGCTTCTCGAAGAAACAGATTAGTTTTTTTGATGGGTGATCTAACAGGTCAGATGGCGGGAGTGAAATTATGTCACATATTGAAAACCAATTCATAATATAGCGGAGCAGGTACAAAATGTGATCTATTGTAATCATTCTTCAAACAGATATAGCATGCCGTATCTTTTGAGAGTTCAAGTCCCTTCAAATGACGTTTCAGAAAATAATGGCTTATAGTTGATCCTGATAGACAACGTAGAATATGTAGATCATCCTTGCTGTAGCTTAACAATTGTTTAGTGACATTCTTCGAAGAATACGCTAATGCTTCAAATCAATTTCGACAGATTTTTCCTCAAGAAAATTCAATTCGACCAAAGTCGACTGAAGTCAGTTCGAAAGCAATATCACATTGCTATGAAAGCTATTTCCCGGATGTGTTTCAGAAAATATTCTGATATTCTGATTTAAATTTCTAAATATTGAATGATTAGGTTTTCTGATTCATTATGGAATTGATATTCCACATTTACACTTTTTTTGTCTAGGTTATTTTCAGTTATAATGAAGGATATGCATGCACTGAACTAATTGAATACAAATATTCAGTTTGAAGTGTTAGTCAGATATATCTCTTCATGAAATATATTTTGTTCAATCTTACAGGGTAGTCTAAGAGTAGAGGTATATAGTACTTCTTCAGAAGAGTAAGGAAGAATTGATCTGTGGACCTAACACATTTCTTTTTGTTTGCCACAATGTATCCTTGAGAAAATAGACTGACCCTCTTCCATTAATTTTTCATGTATCCATAATAGCAGACAATAAATTGTTGTGTCATTATTATTATCATTATATGCTCAAACATAAGGGATATTGTATATTATCAATTAATTGAACATTCAAAATAATGATATATTTTTATGATCACTATTCAGAATGCTCAATGATAACCACCTTTTCTGGCAAAAATATTAGAGATTATTTATGACTTGAAATCTCACGAGCGGTTGAACATAAAATTACTACTAAGTGTTTTATTTGCCATCTTTTTCGGCGATTGATATAATTACTTTCCTCAGAGCTACAAAATATGTTGAATAACAAAAATTTACATAAAAAATATGTTTTCAGAAATATTTTGTTTATTGTCATCCTCTGAGTGTACTTACCTAATTGTTTTGGCGAGTAGTCGTGTTAGTGTTTCTAATGAATTTGGATTTTTCAATAGAAAATCGCCAAGTCGTTTGCGTTTAAAAGAATATGACATAGTATAAAAATAGTGAATGATCACTGGGGGACATATGAAACAATCACAACTGAAAATACACATTTAAAATAAATCAGGACATTTGTGAAATTGTATCTTTTAGATTCTTGATTAGTACCTATATATTCAGTTTCTCCCACATATCTATTGAAAGAAATTGGGGCAATGAGTTATCAAAAAAGAGAATCTCAAAAAAAATATTTTTGGCAGAATCTCTTCTCTGTCTTTTTTAGGTCGACCTAGAAATTGTTCCAAATAGAGAAACGAACTACGAAATTCAAAATTCAAAATTATATACTATCATTATATAAAAATACAACAAATTAAAATCAAAGAGCATTCAAAAATCAGGTGGGGAATTTCGAAATTTTCAAAATCAAATTGGGATTATCTTTGAAGCATCCTGTGTAAACAGAATGAAACCAAACTCAGTATTCGAGATAACAACTGACCAATAGAATTCGGGAATTTTCAATCGGTGAATGTGAGAAATTGTCAATAAGAATACAGCGAAAAAGAATAGTACTTAACACATTCAGTCGAGAGACACCGAGGTAGCAACATCAAAATGAGAGTTTGGAGTTTTACCTAAGTGAAAGCGATAAGAATATTATCCAGAGTGATCTACCAATAACGTTTAGTGCTACGAATATACAAAGCACTGAGACATTAGTTCTTTTCAGAACTGAGTGTGCGAAAGTACACATAAAAAAGAATTCGAGTTATTTTCATTTTTAGGTTTTTCTTTTAGGGCCCCACAATGGAGGAATGGGAGGAAAAACTAGTACACTTAGAGAGAGAGAGAACCACAGGCTTCGTCAACAAAGAGACAAACTGACAAGGCTAGTCAAGCAATTGAACGACAGGCTGAACCATGTAGAGGCGATACTCGTCCAAAGAACTAGGACGAATACAGAACCGTCCAAGGCGCATTCAGGAGAAAAGACCGAGGAAACCGAAAAAAAACAGCCAGATCAACTCAAGCGAACCAAAAAACGGACGCAGAAAGACAACACCCCTGAACAAGGGAAAAAAGAAAGCAACAAGAGCGAAAATAAGACTACCGAAAAAATCCCTGAAGAAGGGAATGAAAAAAAGAAGAGCAAAAAAGAAGAGCAAAAGAGAGAGCTCCCAAGAGACAAGCCGAGCAAACCGAGTCCGACTCGGAAGACGGAAGAAGACGGATTTAAAAAAGTTGAGCCTAAACGCAACCGCCGCACCAGACGACGCCTGGAGAAGAAAAAAACTCAGGTAGAGAAAAACAAAACAGAGAACGAGGCACAATCAGACATGGACACAATGACAGAGGAAGCGGCAGCCATTAAAGAAATGGTACCAACCCCCGAAAACGAAAATAGAATCCAAGACCAAGCGGTAGTATGGCCAACCGTAGGAACGACAGTGAGGCAAACCACTGAAGAAGTGGCACCAACCTCTAAACCAAAAGAAGTGGTATCAACCACAGAGCCAGGAAAACCAGCTCAAATAGTCATGCATGACTCAGAGGTGGAACGAAGTGTCAAAGGAGCTGGAAAAGAGGCGAATCCAGTATAACAGGGCACGACTAACAAGAGACGGCATGTATATCCACACCAATAATTAATTGGAATGGAAAAAATGCACCAAGTTCATGGAGGAATTCCGCCTGGAATTCCATACATATACTCTAAAGAAAGAAATCTCGCTCCATGCGGTCATCCGGGGGATACCGGAGAACGTGGAGGAAGCAGACGTGGCGGATGACCTGAGAAAACAGGGATTCGAGGTGATGGAATGTCACAGGATGACATCCAGGAAGACAAGGAAAACACTACCGCTATTCTTGGTGAAAGAACCAAGAGACAATCTTCGCACTAAGAACGTGCGTAAACCTAATCGTGCGGGCGGAGCCGCAAAGATAAGCAAAGGGACAATACGACAGTGCCACCGATGTCAATACTTCGGGCACGCTCAAAGATGCTGTCACGCAACCGCACGTTGCGTGAAATGCGGAGAACAGCACGAGACAAGGGACTGCCAAAAACAAAGAGAAGCGCCAGCCAAATGCGCAAACTGTCTGGGTGCGCACCCGGCTAGCTACAGGGGATGCAGGATGTTCCCCAAACCAAGACACATACAAACAGCAGGAAACAGGCCTCGACAAGAGGAGAGTCAGAGGCCTCGACAGCAGCCAGCTCAAAGGAAACCAGCACCGAATGTGCAACAAGCCGAAGGAAACGAGCTGGTCCAAATTCTATGGAGCCTAACGACTGAGCAGCAAAAGATCGCGCAAGCGGTCTTAGCCGCTTTAATAGCACCCGGACGACAGTAATGCCTGCACGAGTCCCGTATAGACTACTATTAGGATCATGGAACATAAACGGGTCCACAGAAAAACGGAACGAGCTACTGGAGCTGCTGTCGCGTCTAGACATAGACGTCATGGCACTGCAGGAAACAAGATTGAGGAGCGAAAAAAACTACCGTATCCCAGGATATAACATATATAGGACAGACAGGCCAGGCGGGCGCCGAGCCGCTCTGGGGGCGGCGCTACTAGTAAAAACTGACCTAACACAAAGCGAAGACAAATAACCAGAAATCCAACTCGGAGAAGCGGTAGCGGTCAAAATCAAAATGAGACGCAACGAGCAGCTGAGAATATCGTCGGTATACCTGCCTCCGCAAGGTATAAGACTAAAAAGAACCGACATGGCAGAAATGTTCCCAGACAGTTGCCATTGACGACTTCAACGCAAAGTCGCGTGACTGAAACTGTAGGAATGGAAACAGGAGAGGCAGAGAACTAGGCAGAATCCCAGAAGAATTCGAGGACATCGCGGTAGTAGCACTAAACAGTCCAACATACTAAGCGCACGAAGATCAAGTCCCGGACTGGTAAGATTAATTCAGTCTTTTCTAGCTGACAGGCGATGCCGATGCAGAGTAGGAGATGAACTATCAACAATTCGACTTCTGGAAGCAGGGGTCCTGCAGAGAGCAGTCCTTTCACCGCACCTCTTCTCCGTATACACAGCGGACGTGCCCAAGCCGGAGAACAACTTCAACAAGTTGGCGCTCTACGCAGACGACACGGCCCTGCTGGCGAGATCCACGAGCCAAGCGCATGTTACAAGATACTTGCAGCAACAGGCAGACAAGAATGTCGTCGTTTTCATTTATTTATATTCAATAAATTGTTCAATTCGGTGAAATTTTTTGTTTTTCTCGTTTCTTTGAGTTTAAAATTACTGAATTCTATAACTTAATTTACCAGAGACAGCAGGTTCACAGATAATCCCCCTGAGAGGCAAAGGGAATGTTCCATTAATAATAAAGGGACAGTATACACTTTGCATAAGAGTCTGAAAATCACAAAAATGATTAATAATAATGATAAAATTCACAAACTCATAATAAGGAGAACCCTGAAATTTCAATACATCTAATCAAAACTATCAAAAACATTGATAATAATATTGTTGTATTGTTGTTTATCGTTCCTTTGGGTTTGATATTATTGAATTCTATAATTTTATTTACAAGAGATAGTTGGTACCCAGATAATCCTCCTGAGAGACAAAGAAATGCTCCATTGATGATAAAAGTAGACTATACACTTTGCATAAATCTGTTAAAAAAATCTGTTTAAAATCTGTGTTTCCGTTAATCAGCTGTCGTCCCTATACGAACGACAACTCTCAGAAGTTGAGAAACTTGTGCGAGCTAGGTCTAACCTTTCAACGTGTGATTCCTAACACGGTTGTAGAATCATCCCAGCTTCAACCAGATAAATTCTCTCGAGAAAAATATCTGGTCGAGGCTGGAATCGAACCGACGGTCTTCCGATCATGAGTCGGGCGCACTGCCACCGCGGCCAATTCCACAACGTAAGAGTCTGAAAATTACAAAAATAATTCAAATAAATAAAAAAATTCACAAACTTATAATAAAATAATTATAAACACCAGTATAGAGTAACATTACGGTACCTCAGTATCTTGAATATGTCTTTCATTATATATATCATTTATGTTTTCATCTCTAGAATGATTATACTAGGTGTGCAAAGCAGGGTTTCATTTCTTGAATAGGTCAAAAGCGAGTGGTTCTATTTAATCTTCCATTGTGACCCGAGAAGAATCAGTGTGAATATTTAAGTACTATCAAGGACGGCATTTTGTTCTACTCTAATACAAATAATGAAATTTTCGCTTTGGTCTTTGGTTAGAAAGAGACAGAGACATCAATGAATGATTTCGAACTCATTTAGGACATAGAGTTCATTTCTACAATGCAATAATTGAACTTATTTGGTCGACTGCAATATAATTGAGTAGAAATATAAAGAAAAATCAATTTGCCCCATCCTCAACACTCATGAAATAACCAAATAATATTTTCATGTCCGTTGAAAATCATTTTGAGGTCGCTAAGATTTCCTTTTCAATTTCCGTTGACACCAATTTTATACATTGATGGCATTTTTCATCCTTTTCAGGCTACTGATTTTGAACTGATTTCACTCACCTATTGTCCAAATATTTTACCACTCCTTGTCCGCGCAGTACTTGATATAAATAATTAATGTGGTGGTCGCTATAAATCACTAGTCAACAATAACTAACGGTCAACAGAACCACTGAAACCATGAGACAATTGATTTGGGTTTTACTTGTATTAGTGGCGAGTGTGTCTGCTGTACCACCCCCTGCAGAAGAAACATTCCTTGAAAACTTCCAACAGGTGAGTTTTAACAATTTCCATGTAGTATCTTCATTCGTTAAAATCAGATCATTAGATAAATAAAAATATTCAAAAACAAAATAATTTTTTTTCGTTTGATTTTCTTTGTGATTGAATGTTTCAAAGTCTTTCAATTTCAATGAAGGAAATGCACAGATCAATGTCGAAATAATGAGTAATTTTTCTTACAGATTGTGAGAGAAGTGAAATTGAAAAATGAGAATAACGAAAATGTTATTGACCCAAGGAGTGGAAAATCTATAGAGGATATAATTGAAGAGTATGTGAAAGAAAATGAAATATCGTTTGAACTACCATTGATTGGATCCAAAGTAACAATGGAAGCAAGAAACTTGGATAATGATGAAATCAGTATGAAACTTGATTTCGGATCTGGAAGTGAAGTTCAGGGTAAAAAGTTCTATGAATAAATTAGAGTAATTACGATCATTGATATTGAACTGACAATTGTGATAATTTTTTTCTGTGACTGGCAAATTGAGAAAACACTTTGACTGACAATCATGGGAAGATGTGCTATGATAAATTTCTCCAGATAATAGTTCCCAGTAGTAGAAATCGAAAATGGTGACAAAAGGGCACTAAACCGTTTCTTTGTTAATAATAGTCAGATCGTGACGTGCAACACATCAAATGAAAGAGAAAGGGATGTATTAGTAGTACTAGTATTAACAAAAATACGGCTTGCCACCTCATTCAATTTTTACGACTAAAGACTATTATTTGGAGAAATTTAAGATCTTTTCGATTTTGTGACAAAATCAAGTTAGATTTGATTGTCATACTTTCAATATATGAATTTGCGGTCAAATCTAGTGGCCTTTACAGGGAATCTAGTGACTTTTCGAAGGAGTCTATTGAGTTTTTGTACAAATCTAGTGAATTTTTGGTGAATATAGAGACTTTTTGGGGTAATCTAGTAACAAAAACAGTATGTTTTACCTACTGTTTTCTTGTAGAGATTTATATGGCGAAATAAGTATTTTGGTGCCCATACTCTCATAGCATAAATTCTATGAACTAGTTGATTATTCTTCCATTTTTTCAGCTCGTAAGAAGAAATCCAAGATCAAGAAAGCCTTCATCCCCATTCTTGTCTTCATTCTCATTAAAGCCATCATTCTCATCCCGTTAGCTTTAGCCATCCTAGGATTCAAAACCTGGAATGCTATCCAGTTGTCTTTCGTATCGTTTGTGACTGCAGCAGCGTTAGCAATCTGGAAGTTTTGCAGTAAAATAAATCACGACCATCATCCTGCTATCGTTCATAATGCTTGGGATCCACATCTTGATAGGACCGACGCGCAGCAAATTGCTTACAGTGGTTACGCTCCTCTTCAATAACTGAAAATTGTCTGTGATTTATTTATTTATTATTTACTATTTTCAATAAAAAAACTTGACTCTCAATAGTATTCCTTACTGATATCAAACTCAATACAACCCATTTCAACATTTTCATCAGTAATATGTCATTTTAGGATTAGAAAAACCTCAAAATGCCTATGGATAATAATTCATACCATACTCAATAAGTGGCCTCGCGGTATATTTATATAATATTTCCAATTTTCGATGCTTAGTTATTACTGAATTTTAAGTATTTGAATTCAAATAGTTTTGGTTTTTCGAAAGTTTCTAAATGTTTCGAATACTGATCACAATGCTTGAATTCCTTCATAACAGAGGAAACTTTAGATGGACATGAAAAACGGACGTGTTCGAGTTGCCAGGAAAAAAATGCATAAAGACTCTATCAATCCAAAAGTCTTCCCGTATTTTAGTTATTCATTTCAAAAGATTCTCTCTAACAGAAAAATTTAGTGTCAAGTTAAATGTTGCCATCGAGTTTCCTCTAAATGGATTGGATATGAACAATTATGTAGCAGACAATGTGACCCCTTTCGTTTTAATCTATATGCACTTTCGAATCACAGTGGGATTACTTACAGCGAACATTATACAGCATACTGTAGACATCCATATACTGGCACGTGGCACGAATACAATGACTCACACTTGTCACTAATTTCACCAAAATCGCTTGTAAAGATGTATACATCCTCTTTCATGAACAGGAGAAAACGAATTCGCACCTTCAAGCGTTTTAAAATGTTATTTTTGAACTGTTAATTTTAATGTTTCAGTTTCCTTTTTTTACTCTGTGGTCATTTTCATTTCATACCTTGATCATTTTATTCATTTTATTTCATTTTCATTTCACGTTTTCTTGTTCAATATAACTGATATTTTTGCTATTCATTTTAATTTTATTTGTTCTTTCATAGATTTTGAATCATAGTAGAATCATAATAAACAATGAAAGTCCAAACTGATAAAATTCATCATAAAACACCGTCAACCACCTTCGAACAAATACTTTTATATGAACACTGAATTTTACAGTTTGTATTGACGCACTTCAGGGCTCCTCTTCGAGGCTACATTCTTTGGAAAAAATTTCGCAAACCGACGTCGAATAGTGCGTTCATCAACACTACAAGTATCATTGCCAAATGCATGGTTAATTTTTCGGGTTGTTTCGGCAGTGCTTTGGTTCAATTTGAATTTGTAGAAAAAATTTGGAAAATATAGCATCAATGTATATAGTATCAAATTTTCAACCGATCAGTATACACCACGACACAGTGTGATGAATATTTATTAAGATATGGAGTCACAAAAACACATGATATCAAGACGGACAACACTTTTGAAGCAACCTAATAAATCTTGTGTCTACAAGAATACTATTGAAATCACCACGGAGGCAGCATAGCTACCTGCGTGTCATCCGGGTCCAGAAAATCATAGAGATGCAGAATATCAAGTTTCTTGATATGAATTGAAGATATGACTTTATTGGAAACAAAACTCAAAAGAAGGCAAACTCATAGACATGTGTTTCGTGACACCTCACTGGATTCAAAGAATTGAATTAAAATTTACTAAAAATCGTTATTTGTTTTGAAATTATGGATTACCGGTAAAAGCCAACTTCTTTTAATTTAATGACTTGTTTATTGTATTGACATGTTTCAATTGCTTGAATGTATATGTATATATATATATATAATACTGATATAGATCACACTGAAATTGTTATATGTATTCAATCTATTCTATCTGAACAGAGCAGTGCCGCAGGATG